ATATACGTAATAGTTTCAGTGCGTTTGAAAGAGTATGGGATTGATTTCATATATCTCCTTACCATGTTCGAGTACTTGACCATGAACACTTCCAGAGATATGCAGTATGAAAATTCGGTTTTTATGGGAGGTGCCACGCCCCTTTTTCCAATAGCTCCAATTCTTCTACATGACTATGCGATTGATTTTATATATCTTGCACATAGCAAGTTCCAGTTTATGTGAGGTGCCACGCCCCTTTTTCCAACAACCCCAATTTTTCTTCATGACTATGCGATTTCTTTCATATATCTCCATAGTAGGTTCGAGTCCTCTTCCATGGGGGGTGCCATGCCCCCTGCACCTAGCGGTATGAAATATACTTTACATTCGATTCTCATACCTACCATATATACACAAAAAATTTCATAAAGATCGGTCTAGCCGTTTAGGAGGAGTTCGACCACATTCGAGTGCCCAATGAAACGAAAACAAACTTAAGAATTTGAGTGTATTATTTGTAGTAGGTAAGAGTAAATAAATCTAACTTTCAAGACTGAAAGCCAAAATTTCGAAATTCAGATATTTTTATACTTTAGGTTGTATCGTTTACAAACTCGAATCAGAGGTTAATTTCTTCAAAATTGACAAGACTGACCTTCGTAGTCTATTTTCTTTTATGCATTATTTAAAGGCTCAGTGGAGAGAACAATTCGTCATCATAAGAAAGGTGTAATTTTTAAGTTTTTCATGCAAGAACCAAATATTTTATTATATATTGAAACTAAGTATATTTTGATGTCACGCCCGTCGCAAAATATGCAAAATATTTATTTTTTGAAGGAAAACACTTCTTGTACAGTGTAAAAAAGCTGACGAAAGTAACGCTATGACATAGGCGAATATGTGCGAATTTCTTTCAAGTGTTTATATGCTTTTATTTTCTTAAAAAGAACAATTTCTGTTGGTCACGCCCGTCACATGTCACACCCTTCACAATTTAAAGTTTGACAAATAGTTAGCAATAAATTAAAGGACTGCTACCGTTAATTATCTGCTAATCATAAAGATGTGTTGCTCGAGCGATGGAAAAAATTAAGCTATGCTGTCACGGATAAAAAGAAACCATTACTTCACTTCTCAGTGCAAAAACAGTATCCAAAACGGTTTGACAGGTAAAACCCTCATACCTTTTAAAAATTAGGTACTTTACAATTACTCAGACAGACAATGGAGATAAAGAGTCCGATCAAGGACTATCCCGTCTTTAGGTGGCAAAATCTTGTATGTGTTCGTAAAATCAGATTTTTTGAGAAGTAAAGTTAGTTCAGTTGTTTAATAATGTATATTTATGTATTCATGCTCAACTTGTCACAAAGTCAAGTCACATCCGTCACAGTTGAATTTGGAACTTATAATCTATAATTCCCAATAGAGGTAAGCAACTTCGGCGTAAATGTTAAAAATGGTTCTTTAACTATACAACAATTTGTATAGCAGAACACATAATTAGCAGAAAAACTCTGATACAAGTAAGTAGTAGCTAATTAGTTTTGCGTACTCATCACACCCGTCACAGTGACTAAAGTTCATATAACTCGTTTGGATTAAACTGTTTTAGATTTTTTTTTCTTGGCATTGTGTATACCTTGGAAACCTATTGGAAAATACTCGTTTTAAAGAATTTTATATTACAGTTTAAGAATTAAGCCTTAACACGTGAGTTGAAATGTCACACCCGTCACCGTGGAATGAGCCACATACAAGAATTGCTCGCTTAATGTAATAAGATTTTAATAAATACATTTATATACATATGTATGTATAATTTTAATGTGTTGCTATTTACGGCATTCGAACTTGGAACCTCCTGAAAGCTAACAAATAGTAGCACGCACCTATGCACACTCAGCTACTGGCGAACACGTGTACATTAGACTGCATCACCAAAAAAAGTTGCGGTTTTTCCGCCGGGATTACAAAATTTATTATATTTTAAGACGACCACCAAAATATTCCGGAAAAATATTAAGATTTAAGCGAGCTGGACCAATTTTAAAATAACTCCAAAAATGTAGTTTTTATGAATAAAAATAGTTTCTTAAAGATCTTTTTGAGAAAAGTCCCCTCAGATAACAAAAGAGATTAAGATTAAAAAATCTGCATACAAATATTTTAAAATCTTTTCACGAAATCGTAATAATGAGATTTTTGATGCTGTTTTATTACTTTTTTCAAAGATTGATTTACGAAAAACTTAAATAACTGGGCCAAAACTATTCTATTTGGCGCTAAATCTCCCAATTTGCACACTCTGAGAAATATGGCCTTGAACTTATTTGTTTGTATGGACCATCTCGCTCAATTGGTAAGTCAGCTTTCAGACACGTCAACTCTGCTCGTTCGATGGCGAAGGAGGTGAGAAGAGAGGGGAAAAGTACATATACGTACCTTCGTACCGTCAATTCGTTTCAAGCTTTCTTGTCTCGTTTGATCTTTTCGTTGCTTCCCATTTAAAGAACTGAATTTAATAAAAGTTGACGCGTGTGGAAGCAAATAGAAAAGACAAAAGAGAATCCGAAAAAATAGCTTTCAAGACTTGACTTGTCTGAGAGGTGACTTTCTCTAGATCAGCCGTGCCCAGCGCAGGGCACTTGCCTATTGAATTCTGCCAGCGCAGGGCACTTGCTTATGGAGTTCTGCCGGCGTTGGGCATGCCTGCTTTAGATAGTGGAGTAACATTCGCACCTTCTGTAAAAACTCTAAACATTGCCGCAATTGATGGTATAGCGCGTCGTGCATTAAAAAAATGGGCTTTAAGTATAAGAAAAAAAGAATAAACCAATGTTGACAAAGAGACACGGGCGCCTTCGTCGAGATTTCGTTCCAGCGCACGAGCATTGAACTGAGGAAGACTGGGATATGGTAAGGACCCAAATACAGTTAAACAGAACCACCCCACTACGGTGATAGATCAAACAGAGTTTGGGCATGTATATCCAAGAATGGAGTAGGTCCTCTGTAGCTCGATTCTGTAAACCTTCTCTACCGATTATTTCTCTACTGGGCATGAATCACGTAACTTTGAAACGATACTCGTTCAAACGATACTGACAAAACGATGTTGTCAAAACACTGATTTATGCATTTGTGTTGCTGTTACGTGTTACTGTTACGTGAAGCAAAACTGGAATCTAATTGACGATATCGCACAAACGATCAAACAATTTTTGATTTTATGAAGCAAGACAATCTCGACACGATATCGTTCAGACCATTGTCGTCATACGTGATTCATGCCCTGGTAGAGAATACCCGTCATTCTCTACTACTCGCACCACTGTGGTGCGATTCACTACGCGATTTTAACAACTTTGTTATTGTTAAGTCAGCTAAACGACAATTTTGACAATTTTCCTTAACAAGTTTCCCTAACAACATTCGTTAGCGCCAAATCAGCTGTTGTCGTTAACGATAACAAAGGCTGCTTATTTGACGACGTAGAGTTTGGTGTGGTTTAAAAAAAAAACATAAAAAGTACGTTCTACAATTTTTTCGTATAGAAAAAATGCACAGGACCGCTAGCTAAAAAAAATATCAAAAATCAAAGCATTTTTCAGCAACATCAAACTTGCACTTTATTGTATTATAATTTGATGGGCTACAAAACTGCATACATAATTTTTTTATTATTCATATTAAAAGCTTGAAGTTTTACGAAAGTTTGTTAAATTTTGTTTAAATATTGCAGAATACCTATTAAAAACAAGTAATATAAATTACATAGCAAAAAAAAAATAGTTTGATAAAACTTGTATATATATGTCCCGGTTTTAATTTTCCAATAGGGCATAAAACAAATATATAAAACTGGAAGTTAAAATGTGATAAGTGTATTTTTTAATCGTACAGGAACTGACTGTGCTTTGAATTTAAAGGAATTGAATAATTAAGTTTTCAATTTTATACGTATACATCGTTTGCTAAAAGTATAAATATCATATATGTATGTGCATATTTAAATATTTCTATAATAATCATCATTACACTAGCATAACAAAACCAGTCTTGAAAGTAAATACATATGTACAAAATGTGCATACAGTGATTCTTTTTAAATATTAACAATCTTTTTCCCGTTGAATGTTTTTTGTAAACTTTTAATTTACAGCTGCGAGTAAAATATGGCAGAAAAATTCTAAATTAAGTTGTTTGCTACTTATGTGTATTTATTTATTTTTAATAATTTTATTTTTAATAGTTCCATCTACTATATAACAACAGAAACCACATAAATAAAAGTTTTAAAGCTTGCACAAAATTCACAAAAATAAATTAAACTTAAAAAAACTGTCACAAATATTTCGAACTTTTTATTTAGAATCTTTATAAGATTTTCCGGTATGCAGTTTTGTAGCCCATTCACATTTAGTTTGATAAAGTACAAGTTTCAAGTCTAAAAGTTACCGTTGATTTTTTAGAACTTTTTTTTTTGAGGGTGTTGCGCATTTTCCTCCATATAAAATGCTTGCCAACTTTGTGCACACACGAGCGCCTTGGTATATGCAACGGATTTGTGGCCATTAGTGGCAGCACAGTTAGGGAATCCCACAATCGTTACTGCAAACAACAAAAATTGTTAGCTGGCAACTCGACAAGTCGTATTTGGCGTTGCCGTTTTGATACAATTGTATCAATTTTGATACTTTTTTTTCAAAATTTTGTGTTTTGATACTTTGATACTTTTTTGTTCAAATATGCCCCATTTTGATACTTTTGGCTGACAGAAATCAATTTTTGAAACCTGTGAACAATATTACTCATTTAAATGAAAATAATTTTTTTCTTGTTATTTAAAGTCTTAAAATTTTATTTGTATAATAACTTTGATTTGGTAACTCTTATAAGGGAAATACAATCCTGAATTTCTTTGCATACACCGCTGTAAGTTTATTATGGCAATGCTTGGCAAAACAACCCTGTATTTACATTTGAAATGAGCATACATAGTAACTGTGTGATTTGCTTTGTTGACATTGCTGCGTTGCTTTTGGCTAATAATGGATAAGTAAGTATTTATGTTGCAAAAGTATTTTAAAATTAAATTAATATAGATTTAACTCTTAGATTTATTACACGGTATTCAAAAAGAAGACGTGGAACTCATAATGAGGCTAAATCCATGCCAAAAGAGAGCAATAAGGAAGTGCACGTGGAAAGTGAAACGTAAATGTGAAATATATGTACAAAATTCTGTTTGGAAAAATTAAATCATGCCTCATTTAGGGCTTCTACATCCAAAACTTATGAGAGGTGATTTAGAGAAAACTGGAAAAGCAAAATGGTGTTGCATTTTGCGTATATTGCAAGAAAGCTTTGGTGAATCTTTTGCCACATATTCAGCGCCACGAAAAAACTGCATTCCACCAAAAAAGTGTAAGCACCAGAAAAAACCAAAGCACCATCGAGAAATTGTTTACCCCAGAGGATGAAACAAGCATGCTTCATAAGGTGAGACATGCTGAACACTCTTTGGTAATGTTTTGCGCGGACCACAATTTACCAATGTGTTGACATTGGCTTCATTGCCTCAAGTTTTAAAAAGTATTTTTCCGGATTCCAAAATAGCAAAAAATATCGGCTGTGGTAGAACAAAATCGATAAAATATCATTTAGCACCAAAAGCAAAACACAAATTAGCAAACATTTTGAGAAGAAACTATTTCTCATTAATTGTTGACGAGACTACTGATGTTAGTTCAAAAAAAGCACTTGCACTGGTAGCTCGATTTTATTCTACAAGCAAGCATCAAAGTTGTGACATGTTTTTTGGGCTACCTGAGCTAAGTGAATGTAATGCTGCATCCATATTCAACTGTATTAAAGATCATTTGGATAATTTACAAATTCCAGCAAAAAATGTTATCGGACTTGCTACAGATAACGCTTCTGTAATGGCCAGTCAAATAGGGGGGTTATGTGGGGAATTTAAAACTTTGAATTCATATTTATTTTATATGCCTTGCGCCTGCCATTCGCTGCATTTATGTGCTTCTCATGAATGCAAGAAATTGCCGAATGAAATAGAGAAACTTGCGCGTGATATCTACAACTTTTTCGCACATAGTCCTAAAAGAATTGGTCAGTTTCAAGAGTTCCAAGACTATGTTGATATAAAAAATCTAAAAATTTGAAGAATTTGTGGTACTCGGTGATAATCTTTAAAGCAGGTGGTTGATAGAGTTTTATTGCAATGGGATGCACTGCAACTTTTCTTTATTTCTTCATTAGTAGAAGATAATCTTAATATATCTAAAGACATAGCTGAAAAACTAGGTGATCCCCTTTACAAATTATATTTCTATTTTCTTGCACATATATTGAATATAATCACAAAATTAAATCTAGATTTTCAATCAGAAGAGTTCCGTTTACATAAAATTTATAACCACTTCGAAGTTAACTACAAACTTATTTTGTAATTTTTTATAAAACGTGAAACTTGCATTAAAGCGAATTTAAGCACATTAAATATTAATGATCTATTAAATTTTATACCTCTAAAAGATGTGTATATTGGAGGTAATGCAGAGTTATATATGTATATCGGAGAAAAAAATAGAAAAAGCTGATATTTTAAAAATCAAATCAACGATACGTTGTTTTTATATTTAATTGTGTTTACAAATTGCAAAACGTTTTAAATTCGATAATATTGTTTTAAAAAGCGTTTCTTCACTAGACCCTGAAAAGATAACCGCCGGGAACGATTTTATTTCTTTCGTGAGTATTTCAAACTCACTTCCACACTTGTATGACAATGAAAAAAAGAAGATATATGTACACAGTAAAAAATGATGCAATTGGAAAAAAATTCATTGTATCTAGATAATATTGAAAAGTTTTGGGGGAATGTAGGTAACTTAAAAGACGCAAAAAAGTCGCAGCTTTACAAAGCTGTCTTTGAATTTTCTACAGAAGTAATGAGTTTACCTCACAGCTCTGCGGCAGCTGAACGGGTTTTTTCCCAACTGAACATGATAAAAACCAATTTGAAAAATAAGTACAACTTAGAAACGGTTAAGGCCATAATGTTTGCAAAGCAAATTAAAAAGCAATACGAGTAAAGAATTTGTGTTATGAGAAATTTGTGTTATGTATTCAATGAATTGTTTGTGGTAACTATGTACAATGTATATACAGTTGTCCACGAAATAATAAGAGTGCGATATTTTGACAAGTTTTGACTATTTGTCTTTGTTATTTAAGGATTTTTATTTTTTTAGTCAAAATTTGTCAAAATACCGCACTCCTATTATTTTGCGTACACTATTTGCAAACATACATACTATGTATGTATGTATATACCAGTAGAATAAGTTTGTGTTTCGTTATGCAAATAAGCAAAACAATTAATATAAAATTTTTTTATACCTATGGATTATAACATTTTATTTATTTGTTTTTTAAATAAAAGTTGAAAAAATAACACTGATACTTTTTGATACTTTTTCTGCTTGCCATCTGATACTTTTTTTTCAAGCTTGCGGCAACGCTGGTCGTATTGTTAAAAGTTAGTGAATCGCACTACTGATTTGGCGCTAACGAATGTTGTTAGTGAAACGTTTACTGAATAGCTAAATTGTTAAAATTGTCGTTTAGCTGACTTAACAATAACAACCCTGCAAGAACAGTGACTATGATTTGACAAATCATTTGAGTAGCAAGACTGATAGAGATTTCTGTCACTGGCTACCTACAAGTTTCTATCAAATTCTAAAGGGCAGTGTGAAAAATCCGATGGAAACTTTTGTGTACGTGTGATGCTTCATCTCCTTCTAACATATACGTTCTGGCATATTGGTAGACTGCTTACTCCCTTTGAGTTCGGCCTTCAAATTTTAATCATCAGTGATGTAAATCTTCGACAATTATGAGTGATCAACCTTGATAGAAATATAAGTCAGTAATGTGCAATAAAATTTGATGTAATAACCGATCAATCATGACACATCAAGTCTGTCATGTTTTCATATCATTGTTGATTACTCACAGTTGATGTAAAAATTCGTCTAGTCTGATCTCTCTCCCACGATATAGAAATCTATCATTAATGACACATGTAATACTTGTTTTTTCTTTTATTTTCATAAAATCTTATGAACTAATTATTGATCGTCAAAAATTAGAAGTTAAGTACATTAAATCAAATTAGAAGCTAAATACATTACCCTAAGCACAGTACATTAAACATTAATAAGGGAGGAAATGTGGCCAAAAATTAAGCAAAATAAGGCGTTTCTATTATTTTTGCCACCAACGTACATATGTACATACTTAAATCTAATATCATAATATTATACTTTACATTGAGCTCAATTGCCTTCCTGATTTCTTTTCGAACTCAACAGGACCTTACTTTTTAAATGCATCTAAGTGGATTGAAATAGATTATCAAAAAATTTGTATTGTTAAAAGATATGTACATATGTATACGGCAGTGGCCACATAATTAGGGATACTATTTATTTATACGTTTTGACCATTTATTTAAGAACTTGCGCCGATTTTTGAGAATTTTTGACAAAGTATGTTAAAAAGGTTTATATATAGGTATATAGTTATAAATAAATAACGAAAAAATAAATGGTCAGAACTTGTTGTGTCCCATTGACCTTTGACCTTTGAAAACTTTATCTACAGCAATTAGAACGTGAAATATGTATTCCATAATATAATTCATTATCATGGCTTGTGCATACTCTGGATCTTTTAATTTTGTTTCTATTAAATCCACAGCGCAATAGGACTGCAGTGGTAGAGAACTGGCGATGCGATGCAATTTTTTAGTATTGGATTCGTAAATCCGTTTTTCCTGCTCATGGCGGTATTAAAAGCACTTTTATTCATTTTAAATTAAATATATTATAAAACTTATCTTTATTTTTCCACAGCACTTTAAGTTTTGAGCATCTTTTCGTTTTGCGTCTTTCCACCAAGTACTTTATAATACGGTTTTATTTATTACGTTTATGTAAAAAAAGAATGTCATACCACAATGAAAACTTTTATTTTTACTTACTTTTGCTATGAGCGGGGTCGAATAATGATAAAATTAAATTTAAACTAATTAAGTTCAAAATTATATCCAAGTACTTCAGTACTCGACATTATTTGGCAGGTACAACTACTTTTGTTGAGCACAAAATGCAGCCCTAGTGAATCTTGTGGTTACTATGGCAACCAACTACCGTTACTTCTATCAGCATTGACACTCACTTGATCGATCAAATGACAGTCATTCCCTACAGAGCCAAACTGGCATATAAAATTTTGCATATGTGTTAGTTTTCGTTGTGAATGTGTTGGAGTTTCTGTCAAGCGCGTCTTGTAGGGAAGAGTTGTTAAAATCGCATAGTGAACCGCACTTTCTACGAATGGTATTGCAACATTTTCTATAAAGTTCTACAAACCGGACATTACTTAAATTTTTTGCAGAATGTGAAGTAGTGCTCCTAAGTGCTCATTACACACGGCGATTTTTGTTGCGGCAACTCGACGTTTGTTGGAGAGAGCATGACGAGGCAAGGAGGGGGGCACCGAGTTCTTTGTGCTCGGGCAGCACGCTTTGTGCCCTCGTTCGTCTGTGTAATTGAGTTAGCGGTTCACAGCTGAGTGAAAAAATTGCTCAAATTATATATTTTTTATGATTGTTAACCAAATAAAGTGATTTGTGCGAAAAAATCTTGACCGTCCAATTTTGGGTGACCCACATGAGAGCTTTTCACTTAGCTGACAACAACAATTGCATAAAAAAGTCGCTGTGTGTAAATTAAACGAGCAACACCAAAAAGGAATTTGAAAAATCGCGTCGGCAAAAGGTTCCGTGTATAAACACAGACTAAGCGGAAGAAAGTTGGATCCAATGAACGGACGTACCAAAAATTGGAGGAAATGGCAAAGGAACGAAAAGAGTACCATTCCAAGGTTTTGGAACTGTTAGACAAAAAAGAGAGAGGGTGGCACAAAGGAAATGTGTATGAGGCAGGTTTTAAGCCATGTAATTTATACAGTATGTTGAGTGGAGCACCCGATAATCTAAAAAGTTTCATAATTTTTGTTTTATAGGAGAAATAAAAAAAATTATTTAAATCATTTCT